GTCACGTTCAGTACGAACGAAGTTTCGCGCTGAACATTGTCATGGCCAGTATGCTCGCATTAGTGGACAGTTCGTGACCGCAACTTGACTAGACTTGTTGAAAGCCACAGGATTGCTGTAGACTAATTCGAAACCAACAACGAAAAGGAAAGGGGCATGGAATTGTGGGGCCCTAGGTCCTGCGAGCATTACGTATACGTAACCAAGAAATATCAACATTGGCTACAATGTTCTGTGCCATGCATTACATTTCATTGATCAGATATCACAATTCTGTGAGATATAAATTCTGAGATGTATCATAATTAACAGATTGGCGAGAAAAGTGTGCATTATAAGTTACCCATACGTAACGAAGAAGTAGTCAGTATATCAAAGTATGTCATAATACCCTGATATTGTGGGAATGTAGCATGGATTTCATTTCACCCTGTTTCTCAAAACATATTCGACCGTCAATTACAAGATAGGGATTGAAACCACGCCACTTGACTTAATGACAGATCTTATGATCTGAAGCGTATGTGTTTTACCACTTGCCCAACGAACCTTTAATATAAGAGTCATAAGACCATGTTAATCTCAAAACTGTGCCAACCATTCTGTTCACGGGATGTTTAATTCCAGGTTCCTTTTCATGGATTTATGTGCTCTACATCACATAACCAAGCTGGCACATACAAAGACTGGCTGAAAAACGATAAGCCTATATCTGAAAGACTTGTACAAAATCGAGGGTTTTCTACACAGTTCCCCTCGAGGTATACACCCTTTTGCCAATGGTGTTGCAGGACCTGGATGCCGGTTAGGAAAATGACGACCCGCTAGTTCTTTTTTTCAATTTTTAAAAATAGGTCTCATGCATGGTTATAAATCTGGCCCAAATATTACCAGGATCTGACCAAACCTGCGCAGATATTCACGGAATCTGACACGTTTCTGATCTGCAGTCAAGAGCTTTATTTGGCACCCATCTTGCAGAAACTTTTTAATTCCTAACTCGTTGGCCGATATGTGCTCAACCCTCTCATGAGAGATGCCAACAACCCTGACAATATGTCGAGTGGTCAATTGTCAATCAGCCATCACCATGTCATGCACCCGGGTAATGGTTGATGTTAATGGACTTTAATGACGCAGGTCATCGTCAAGACTCTCTTTCACGCTTAAATTCGGGTCATCGTCAAGAATATCTTCTGTACTGTAGAAAAGGAGGTGCAGGGGCATCATCCCCCAAAGTGGAGAACATGTCGGGATGTATCTTTGTTAGGGTTAGTCATTTCACTTGCAGGTGCTTGATGACTGTCCTATAGCCAGTTTTGTCCATTTTTGGCGATTTCACTGGGTAGGTTCAGAAGGTGATCTAGAACGAAGACGAGCTTGCACCTTAGATCATTAGGCCTGTCATTGAGTCAAGTGGCGCGATTCCATTCCCAACTTGTACGTGTCAAGGAGTAAGGTCGCCTCGCCAACCTCCTAGGTTTTCTCCGGATCACCCGGTTTCCTCCTACTGCTGAAGACCCCAGCACGTACGCAAATTATTAAAATAAAATTAAACCATGTTTGTACCGAAATAACCTAGTCCCTCTCGTTCTTCATTTTTTGTCGATTTGGGTTGCGTGTATTGAAGATTTTCTATTACAGACTCTGGCGTGTCTAATTTAAGATAATGATGGTGTAATATAAACGACACTCCGCTGATGTTTACAATTCACAAGCTCGTGCATTCACCTAGTTAATTGTAAATAATGGCCAGTTATCTCCTGTTTAATGTAACAAACAAACTGTTACTTCATGTTGCATGGGATATGTCAACTGTCGAGTTTAATTACGTAAAAAGTTTATTTAGTAAATTGGGAGCTTTCCATATCCGTGGGATAATCACACAACGTTTAAAAACTGGTTTCAAACTTGTCGTAGGAAAATGCACAGAATGTTGTCTTTGATTCCTATATCCTTAATCGCTGTGTATGCTTCCACATCATGTTGTAGACGTACATCTGTTGGTCCAAAATAGCTTTCCTGCTTTCAAATTTATAACATCGGTCCGATTTATAACATGTCTATCGATTTTGGTGAGGTTTGGATCTTTTTCACCAAAAAATGAAATGAGGTTTAACGTCCTACTGTTCTGCTCCGGACCGGGATAATGAAGACAGGCCTAGGCCAAACAGTGTGCTATGAGGGAAATTTTGCCCGGACAGCGGCACTACGAAAAACTCTTAACATTGAATTCCAACTGTCGAGGGATCTTTTACGTGCACGCCAATGTGTACACGGGACCTCGGTTTTTCGTCCCACCCGAATGACTACCCAGCTGTCCTTGTCAGGCCTGCGTCCTGCATCACTAACAAGGGTGAACTGTCTCGGCCAATGAGGAGATCGAACACCCGACCTCCAGGCTAGCGAGCCAGTGTCCTACCCACTTAGCGACGTGAAACCCCTTTTCACCAATAAAAGGCACATAAATTTGCTTCACACCACTGTACCATATTCGTGGATTCTTTTCAATTTTATTTCGATCAGAACTAATACAAGGTGGACCCCTAACGATTTTGACGCCGATCAGAAATGTTGTCACGAGATACGGTACTGAATTTAGCGAACTTTGTTACGAGATACGGCACCGAATTTAGCGAAATTATGAGATTTTCGACTCGTGTGACGGTGCTTTTGTGACCTCAAGATTGAACGTTCTGGAATTAAAATCTATGAATCCCAAAAATTGTGACAATCGAGTGAAAAGGGGTATTTTGGGCTACAACGCATGCTTCGACTGTATGAGAAAATATCTCAACCGGCAACCATGCAACCGAAACATATTCACTGTGTTTAATTACGTCACGATTCTACTCACACCACCTCCGTTGTCGGTGCTGACAAAACTATGATTTGTCTGAAATTCGCGTCACTGGATTGCAATTCTGTCAATTCGGGAAGTTCAGGAATGACAATCGAGCATCCCATTGTCTTATAAAGCCCGAGCATGCTTTGTCGCCCCCCCCCCCCCCACCGCTTTCACTCAATTGTTACTCTTCGTGGGATTGAGGGAATTTAATTCCAGAACGTTCAATCGACTATCCCCAAGGCAACTTAAAATCTAGGGGAAATTTATTTGAAGATTATTACGTATCCTACGTTTTCAAAGAGTCTTTGATTAAATAAAACGTATCATGATGCAAACTGCATATTGCAAAGTGCAACATGTAATTATTCGATAAGAGTCTCTCTCATATGAAAGATTAAAATACCCATGTTGCTGATTACAGCTGCTGCCCGAGACCTTTGATTAAATGGATAGCTTTTGTAACGTAAAATTTATATTTAATTGAGAATATTTTCATTTAAAAAAGTTGGTATGAAATACTTTATGATTACTTGCATGTGATGTAATGTATTGTGATGTAAAACTCATATTCACGCCATGTTCAAGATGAACTCGGATTATAGTGGATACGAAATCTGTTTAAATTGTCGGGGCGATTTACTGCGTATTTTTTTTCATTTTCTTTATTGACAAATATCTTCAAGAAATTCAACACACATGACTATCACACCATTTTCAAACATCATCTTTCATGAAATGAAATGAAATGAAATGGGGTTTAACGTCCTACTGTTCCGCTCCGAATTGGGCTAATGAAGACGGGCATACGCCATACAGTGTTCTATGAGGAAAATTTTGCCCGGACAGCGGCACTATACGACCTACTCTGGTATCGAATTCCTACTGTCAAGGGATCTTTTACGTGCACGCCACGTGCCGAACGACTACACAGCTGTTTTTGTCAGGCCCTCCGTCCTGCATCACTGCCAAGGGTGTACCACGGTTAAATGGACAATAAATTCCCTCTCAATACGAAACAGGAAGTATTTATCTCCTAATTCAACGTTTTTCCTGTATGACGTCACGACCAGTCGCATCTTAGGCATTACTGTGTTCTTTCACTGAATACATATTTAAGTACATGTAACATCAGTGAAGCACTCACTAACATTTGATTCCTATCAAGAAAAAACCAAAACTTCAAACCCTTGGAAAACGCATTATAATTAGTGAAAATTGGATCTAATACGGCAAGGTATTTTCAGGACTAAACTAGGGCATCTACATTATAAAATAATTAGTTCATTGAAAGATGGGGTCTAATAAGAACACTGTAAATCCTTCGATTAGTGTTTAATCTCCGCTTCCACCGAAAGTGATGTCGCAGACACGTTTTGTATCCTGTAGATTTATGTTACTTTCATACGTCAGACCGTATTGACACAAACTAGGTAAATTCTGAACTAACTCATGGTTCAATTTTATACTGGTAATACGCGCAAGTGTCTTTAACAGTGGGGGGGGGGCGGACGACGGGAAGAAAACCCACGAGAGAGGACAGGCGACCTACTCCTTGGCACGTATACAAGCTGGATAATAGAAACCACGCCACATGACTCAATGACAGATCTTATGGTCCAAAGTACACGCGTTAATTCATTCGCCCCCGCCCCACCCGACCATACTGTATTGATTTATAATAAATATCAATCGTATGTTCTCACATTATCGAATATAATATTATATAATTATTGACACTTGATAGAAGCCTGTGGTTTTGGTGAAAATCAGTGTTAAAGAGAGTTGATAAATCCTAATATATAGCAACCGTCGCATGGGGCCTTTAATATATATTCAGGAATTTTGCACAAGATTGAACCATAGTGATTTACGATATGGTTGCCGGAATTAAATCACACGATTAATTCGATATTTAGATCGATATACTAGTAGGTAGCAAAGGTTATTAAATATCTCCCGCTTCTTTAAGCTCAAGTTCAGTTTAATTTGGCATTTGATACCACCACGGGTTAGAGTGTATATAACAGTTGATTGAGGCAAGCATGAAAGACCTGGTGGAAGTTAATCACAGTCGAAGTAGATAGGGAGCAATCTACAGATAGCGCAAATAATAGCGTGCTGAAGAGTTCTCGGTTAAATGCAAAGAGAACGGCACAGCGTTGCCTTGATGACGATGTCTCTCGATTGAGATCGATAAGATTGTGGAACCCGCGAGACGAAACGATACAAAATCTTATGTTCAAACAAATGACCACTACAAGCTGTTGGTTAGTTGGGCGAGTTTTATCTGTCATCCGAAATAAAAGTTTGTCAAGCGAAAAAAAAACATAATCACTTGGATACTTGTGGTTAATTTGTAATAACTTCTTAGTTTCGTATCGACAGCAGGTGCCCGGAAACAACGATATACAATCCATGCTGTACTAATCAGGTAAGTTTTCCAACTATTAAAATTTAACAAACTTTTTTTAAAACTTGTGTAATATGTTATATGGCCTATAAATTTGTATTGTGTTCTTGTATGCGTGTTCCTTCTTGCGATCTCTATAGTTTTTCTTCACCAACTATGGATTTGCTCACATAACTTTTTTCCCCGGGTAGTAGCTCAACTAGGCCCTCAGGTGTTCTTGAGACAATAATTTCACTTCGCTTAATTTGAATTGTGTCGCATCAAATTTATATGCCCCGCGGAGGGGTAGAACTAGTCTTCCAGATGTTTCAATGGTTTGCCAAATTTGATTTTGGGCACTTCAAATTCATCTGTGACCCGGGAAGCAGTTTAACTTACTACGCCCTAGATGTTTCAAGGGTTAAAGATTATTCAACTCTACGGAACACAAATACATTCTTAGTTCCAATTGTTTTCATGACACAGCATTCTGCATAGTAATTATCTTAGTTTTTCTAACTTTTAACAGTTTGTGTGAACTGTTTTAAAACCTCAAATAAGGATTTTTAAAAGACCCCAAATGAAATGATATGGATTTTAACATCCTACTTTTCTACACCGAATTGGCTAATGAAGACGCGCTTACGCTATACATTTTTCTATCAGGGTAATTTTAACTGTCAAGGTTTCATTGACGTGTATGTATGTATGCACGGGGCCTCACGTTTTCTTCCCATCCGAAGGACGAGACACTGTCCTTGCCAGACCCTCCGCGCTTAATAAAGGCAATCGTTTCCCCGTCAAAACGTCGCATAGTAATATATTTAATAATGGTGTATCCATAAAATATATCTTAAGTTAAGATAAAACGAGATGATGAAAATGCCATGGCCGGCGATAACGGTATCTGACATTTAGTATTTATGCGCCAGTAGATATATATTATATATATAACACTTTTTAAAGATATAGATATATGGAGAAAAACAACATGTCATAGACATTTATCTTGATCAAAGTGTATTTAAATTAAATAGATGGGACATTAAACCGAAAAAAAACCAAACGGAATATACATTTTTATATTTTGGCACAAGAAAACCTTTAATTATATGTATTAGGGACCAGCTTAGTTTTGACTCTGATTTAAAACTTTGCCACTAAAATAAGGTTTGTTGAAGGTAACGGTTCTGTCTATAAATGTACGATTTTTCTAGAATGTCTCTATAGCAGGGTAATACACATTAATTGTCAATTTCATCGTTTCATATTTTAACAATTACAAAATAAACTGCACCATTAAATTCCTTGTAATGTTTATGAGATCTTCCGTTTGTAATACCCACAACAAGACCGGGACATTGTCGAAACGTCGTGTTATATGTAAAAATAAATGATTGTGTTTTTGTTGTGCTCAATCCCTAAATGCTACTGAAGGATTATAATTAACGTCAGTCCTTCATGTTTATAAAATTGTGCAGGAGCCATAAAAAGCTCTTGATACCTTAAGAATATATCCAGTTTAAAAGCAAACAAAAACTGAAAGTAGTTTATTAATCTCAATATTTAGGAGAGCGATTTAGCTAATTTGCAGGAGTCTTTAATGATTCCTTTGAAGGAAAGCCGACGTGTGTCGAGAGGAGCAGGAGCAAAAACTCCCCTTAAACGTGAAGGACTGTTAACGTATTGAATTGAATTCGTTTTGGATTTTTTCATATAAAATATAAATTTAAAGGGTTGAACAAAAAATAAATTTAAAGGGTTGAACAAAAAATAAATTAAGAGGTTTGAACAAAATTAATTCAAGGTAGAAGAGACCGAGTGTTTATAATCATAGTTCACAAGATCCTAATGGTGTATGAAATGAAATGAAATGGGGTTTTACTTCCTACTGTTTTGCTCCGAACTGAGCTAATGAAGACGGGCCTACTATTATATCGAATTCCAACTGTCAAGGGATCTTTTACGTTCACACCAATGTGTACACAGGACCTCGGTTTTTCGTCCTTGTCCTTGGAGTTCAGTTTCTCGTCACTACAAAACTTCGGCCATTTCCAAACAAAAATAATATTTTATTTCTGTTGGCACAAGTGCATTACAAGATAATGATGTTTATAAAACGGTGTTCCCGCTTACTTTTCGTCGATTTGGAACTCTTCAATTGTTCTTTTAATGTACGCCCACGTCAGTGCGTAAATGGGTATTCGTCCCACCAAACGACTAGAGGCTGTTTCTTGCTAGTACCATTGTCATGCTACATTGAAAACCCGAGAACGGTGTCGGTCTACACGGGCAACGAACCCCGGACTTCCTGGTTAGTGACCCAGCGCCTTACTCATTGAGCAACCGCGGCTCCCAGCATTTTACAGACGGAGGTCGTCGTAATGCATAAATAATGAATATGTACCCAAATTCTGGTGAACTAAGTGTACGTCAGATTAGAATTGAACGATTTATATATTTCGTAATTCCTAGCATTTCTTGACAGTAAAACGTTTCTCTCAACTTACAAAAGATACATAACATACATTTTATCTGGTAGTTCTTATGTCTTAACATCAATTCTAGTCGTTCGGGTAGGGTCAAAAAAACGATGCCCCGCGTACACATTGACGTGCACGTAAAAGACCCCTTTATACTGTACAATACGGGCATACTGTACAAACGTTCCCTCATTCACACACTGTATGGCGTATGCCCGTCTTCATTAGCGCTGTAAACCCCATTGCTGTCTTATCAATTTGATGAAACGAAAAGTACAGTTGTCAAACAGGATAAAAGATCTATTCTCTTTTATAATTAGAATTTGTTTTTTTTTTCTATTAGCGCCTGGACTATGATTTATACTTCGTGTAAATTATACAGTGACAAACATTTCCTGGAATTTATGAGGCTCGTTTGAATTAGTATTTTTCTAGACCTTGAATCACAAGAGAAACATTTTGTTTAGTTTTTGCTTGTCAATCGATTTATTGGTGATCAAAGCCTTTTGGAATTTACATCCGTATCGTTTTCATGCAGTCATAAATTTTCCAAACTTTGTTAGGATAAAAGAATATTAGAATGAGCATTACGACGATCATAAATATCCTTGTATTCTCCACAGATTAGCAATCATTTGTTCTATAATAAAATCCTCGAAAATGAATAGTCTTACACAGTAATTATGTTTAATGGGTCGTAAATTGTATTACACGTTAAAAGAAAAAGGGAAGTCAAATGGAAGAATTAAGTATAATAGTGTTGCAATTCGTTAAATGCTTTTACATTCATGTTGGGTCGTTAGTCTACAATAATCATATTCATCACCTATTTGTGTATCGCGATAATACTAAAACAAAAGATTCGGTTGTGCTTTTAACGTTTTCTCTATGGCACTATGGAAACACTTCTGGAGAATCTTTAGCTGAGATTTAAAAGCTTTTAACGATTCAACGCTAAGGCAATGAATTCTATATCAAGGGAACAGGGAATGAAAAAGACTTCTTTTGCGATTTCCCGTTGTACGGATAGTCAATACAGAAGAATATTTTTTGTGGATCTTTAGAGTTGATGTAAAACTGTACGGAGTGTTGATATCTTTAAACAAAAAATAATATTATATATGTGAACATACTAAGCAGATAAAAATGATATTAGGTGTTCTATAAAGTGTAACCATAAGCCATTTGATGACATTTTCGGGCTTTGTAGACTTGGGGCAATCATGTGGGAAGTTATTTATATGAAAATAATAGTAAATATTGGAGGACCACACTACACACAAAACAAAGCCGACACGACGAACTTACAGACAAGACAAACTACACAGATATTGCAAGAAATAAACAAAAAAATATCAAATCAAGAGAATGGATCCGGGGTCCAACCGTAAGCGTAGATTGCGCTGTTCAGTCACGGGCATGTAATGATACGCGCTTCACTCAACTTATTATATTTTTTTTTCATGAATAAACCATTAGACTATCTAGGAATATTTAGTTTTATCTTCATCAGGTGAAAATAGTCAGAATAAAGATAAAAAACGACAAAAACATAAGATAAAAATAACAGAGATTGAGTGCTAATGCCATTGGCATGATGGAATAACTTTAGTTGGAGATAAAATGAAATATAGTAAAGAGTTATCTTTGTAGGTATCTTCATTAGTTTAACATGTAGTTTGTCTGTGAGGTTTGATCAGTACCCCCATGCATGACTCACCTGTGTGAGTCTTGAACTGTGAGAGTTTTGAACGGGCATCAGTTGGTGTTGTATTCACACCCCCATGCATGACTCTCCTGTGTGAGTCTTGAACTGTGAGAGTTGTGAACCAATGTTTTGTATCTAACAAAACTAGAAATCGTCTTGGAGTAAGGAAGTTCTGAATTCTGTAATCTACCAAGGGCTCTTAAAACTCCATCTTTATCTTTGAACAAACCATATTGATTCTTCAATGATTCCATATTGTCTCTCGTCGTCAATAAAAGTTGAACTTCTTTTATCCATAAATTTTCGACTTTCTGAATATCTTCTACTGATAAACAGCTATCGAATGATTCAATATTAGTCTCGTTCGTTTGAATGATCTTCACAAATTTCATGACATAGGCGGTAATCCGTAAAAACCCGTAACCCGTAACTGAAGTTATTACAGCTGATCATTTCATTCAAGTTTTCATTTCTAGTGGGCAGTAAAATAGAACAGAAACTGTTGTCTGATTTGATTTGCTCAATTCTCCGATTTTTAATTCAACTTTACAATCTTCTGGAATGTATTCTTCATTATTCTCTGGGTTGACTTCTGGATCTTGAAGCCAGATTACTGAATCTTTCAAGAATTCATTTGGATGCATACCCCTTGAAGGAATATCTGCTGGATTACTTATACCTTTACAATGATTCCAACAATAATTCTGGATAAATTGTTTCAATTCTTTAGTTTGATTCTTGATCCAAAAGAGAGCTATTTTACTGTCAGTCCAACAGAAAGTATTGTTGATTTCTAATTCAGTTTGAGATGTGTCTTGAATAGTGACAACCAGTCTCGATAATACCAATAC